GGGGGCTGCAGCCCAGGGCTGGGGTGTCCCAGCTCTGTCCTCGTGTGTCACATCCCAGGCGCAGGACCATGTCCTCACTCGGCTCTGGAGCGCCCTTGGGGCGCAATTCCCAGCCCAGCTGCGGCCCCCCAGTGCCAGCCGCACGGAATTCCCTCCTGGCACAGCCTCTCCCTCCGCCCTGGAGCCGCCCCCTCGCCCTGCTGGGCCCGGAGGACGTCGTGGAGAGCTGCAGCGGGTACGTGGCGTGGGCTTGAAATGAGCAGGGCTCATACCTTTGTTAATGTTCAGCTCTTCATTAAAAAGATCAGCCGGGCAGGGGGCTCGACATGGAGCTCACCCCCGCTGCTGTAGCTTTTTCCAGGGGGGAGAAGGGCGAGAAGGCTGCAGAGTCTGTCCCTGGAGTCTCCGTGGCACACTGGTAGCTGGAGGTGAAGAGGTTGCAGCCTGAGCTGAAGTCCCAGCAGACCATCCCCCCTCCTGGTCCTCCTCTCCTCATCCTCTCTCCTCTCCTCCTGGCACACTGCTAGCCAAAGGGTGAGGGGATGTGCAGAGCCTGCTGCTGAGATCCAGCAGCATCTGTGCCCTCTCCTTCCCTCCTGGGAACACCAGGAAGAGTTGTTCCTTTGTTCCTGCTTCCCACAGCCCAGTCCAGTCTGGTCCCCTGCAGGCTCTGGTGACAGGGCAGACACAGACCAGGGATGTGGTTCCCTTTTCCCCAAGCAGCTCACCCATCCAGCCCCCCCACTGTGCCCAGCCTTCCATTTAGGGGTGTTTTCATCCCCAAAACCCCTCCCACGATTCCACTGGTCTATTTTGCATCCCAGTCCTAGAATGGTGGGGGGGGGTAGGTGATTCCCAGGAGCAATTAGCTAATTAACATTTCCATGTCAGAGCCAAGTGTCCTAGCAAGGCTGTTCTGTTCATAGCAGGCTGAGCCCTGCCCTTGCCCGTTTGTCCCCAAGGGATGTGTCCCCTGGCTGCGGGAGGTGTTTGATGCAGCCTGGCTCTCCTGGGAGGCTCTGAGGCTGCTGGCTGTCGCAGCAGGGTGGCCCAGCTGACCCCTGTGTCCCCACGCTGTGCCAGGAGCTGCTGCGAGCTGGGGGTGGCCCTGCTGGAGCGCTCCCGCTCGGGCCCCGACCCGCAGCTGGTGCGCAGGATCGTGGCCCAGGTGGAGTTCTACCTGTCCGACGAGAACCTGGCCAAGGACGCCTTCCTCCTCAAGCACGTGCAGAAGAACAAGATGGGCTTCGTCAGCATCAAACTGCTCACCTCCTTCAAGAAGGTGGGTGCTGGGGGCTGCCTCCTCCGGGCTGTGTTCCGGTGCTGCAGGGCTGGGCTCTGCTCACTGCCCAGGGGAACAGGAAAAGCTCCTCAATTCACCTCTTCTGCCATGGGCTGCCTTGGAAGCCATCATCCCTTCACCAAAAAACCCGGGGAAGTGCTGGTGGTGTGGCTTAGGGGGTGGTGTGGCTCCTTGCCAGAGCCTGGGGACACTGGGAGTGTGGAGATCCCAAAGCTGCTCCCTTGCCCTGGGGGTGTTGGATGGGGTCACAGCCTGCCTGGAGCGGGGGTTTAGTGTAGAAATGTGCCCCTTGTTGGCGGAGTAAACGAGTTAGTCTTTGTCCCCTTAAAAAGGAAAAAAAAAGGCCAGAAGTTTCTCTCCTCAATTTGGTTAAAAGGCACCTCATAGGACCTTGGGGACTTCACCTCAAACTTAAGGACACCCAATTGGACAGGAGCCAAAAAGTCCCGCCGAAGCAATTCCCTAAAAAAGAAGAGCACAAAAGAAGTAAATCGCTTTTGTGAAGTGGTTTAGCAGGAGCAAAAACGTCTTGTCCCGACTCGGTTTTTCTCCATAAAGAGCTTTTTTATTTTTGCCTTTTATTAAAACCTTTTGTTTCCAACACCGTCACAGGAGCCATCCTGCTTCTTTTATGCCACCTGAGGTAGCTGAGCTATCAAGGGTATAATGCTTATCTCTGAGAGCTTATAAAAGCAGGCTCAAGAAAACAGAAGTTTAGGGTGGTTCCTGCCCGGGGGATGCCGAGTGATGGGGATTCCACCTCTCTGCCCAGGTGAAATACCTGACCCGGGACTGGCGCCTCACCCTCTACGCCCTCAAGTTCTCGGCGCTGCTGGAGGTGAACAGGGAGGGCACCAAAGTCCGGCGGCGCCTCCCCATCCCCGAGGACCTGCTGAGCATCCCCCCCAGCAAGCTGCTGCTGGCCTGGGAGCTGCAGCCGCGGGAGCAGGACCTGCCCGTGCAGAAAAGCTTCCTGGACACCATCACCAGGATGTTCAGCCCCTTCGGCGCCATCGCCTCCATCCGCCTGCTGCGGCCGGGCCGCAAGCTGCCCGCGGACGTGCGCCGGTACTGCTCGCGGTTCCCCGAGCTGCTGAGCCGCTGCTGTGCCCTGGTGGAGTACGAGAGCCTGGAGAGCGCCCGCAGCGCCGCCGAGAGCCTGGGGCACGGCGGCTGGCCCAGCGGCAGGGTGGTGCGGCTGTGCGGGAAGGGCGGCAGGAGGAGAGCCGGGCAGGATTCGCCGGCCCGGAGCTTCCCCCGCGGCCCGGGCAGCGCTCCGCAGCCGGGCGATGCTCCCGGGCTTCTGTCCCTCCTCCCGAGCCAGGAGCCGCCGGCACCGACCTGGCCCGGCGGCGACTTCGCGCCGGGAGATTCCAGCGCTTTTCCCGGCTCGCTGCTCGCCAGCAAGGGCTTCCCTCCGCTCGGGATGGGCACCGAGAGCCGCCCGGGCTCCTGGACACCCTGGGGCAGCGCTGGCCTCTGTCCCAAACCCGCCCCCAGCGATGGCCAGTGGGTGCCCGAGCCCCTCGGCCTGTGGGACGGGGTCCTGCACCCGCCCCACGGCCCCGAGGGCGCCCAGGGCTTCGGCAGCAGCTTCGGGAGAGAAGAGCTCGTCCTCCGGCGCTGAGATCTGTTCCAATTCAGGGTTAGGGCTTGCAATTGTCTTTCTTTTCCCTTCTTCTTTTGAGTGGAAGACTTTTCTCTGGTCCTGTGGGCAGTGGCAGTGCAGCTGATCCAGGGGACAGAAGTTTTGGGGCAAGGACAATGCTCGAGGCAGACGCTGAGCAGCAGCAGGGGCTGTGCTGTGCTCATGCCAGTGAGACTGTGCTTGCTCAGGGCCCAGAGCCGGGTTTGGGGTCCAGGTTTTGGATGAGAAATGGACAATAAAGAGAGATTAAGTTTCCAGGCACTCTCTGGTTGATGCTGTGATTTTTTTTTTTTTTAATTGGTTTTCTTTCCAGGTCTTGCTGCTGCCTGAGGTGCAGCCAGACAATGGAAGGAAGGTCCCTGCCTGCCTGCAGCTGCCTCCCTTGCTGGCCTTGGGGTGGTGGGGACACTGAGGGGTGCCCAGGACAGGTGGGCCACGTTGGCTGAGCCTGAGAGAGACAAGAGTGATGGCTGTGGTGGCAGGGCATGGTTCCTCCTGGCTCTTGTCTGCTCAAGGCTCTCCGGCATCTCTCGGGATTGAACGTGGGGTCCTCCTGTGTCCCCCTGCTCCCAGAGCCTCCCCAGCTCCTCTGGGAAAGGGTTAAGGGAGGCTACAGGAGTCTGCTAGTGCAAGTGCCCTTGGTCTGTGCCCAGAGCTGGGATGTTGGAGGGATGAATCCCATCCTGCAGGACTGGAGGGGAGGATGGGGTCACACCTCGTGTGAGGAGAGCTTTGAGGGCAGTCCCTGCGGTCAGGAGCCTCTGGGATGAGGATGAGGGGGATGGAAAACAAAGCAAGTGTGGGTTCTGGTGCCCATCACCCAGCCAGGACCCTGGCACTGAGTTGTTCTACAGGTAGTGAGGAAAATTCCTTAGATCAAGAATTCCTTGTCCTTGTGGACAAGGAATTCATCCCCCATACCCCAGCTGGGAATGGCCTCTTCTGGGGCAAGCAGGCTTGGGAAATTCCTGAGAATTGCTTGTCACAAGTGCTCAGGAGCCATCAGGAAAGATGCCATCCTAAACCTGCTGGTGGGAATGGAGAACTGGTGCCAACTGGGATAGTCTTGCCCCAGTGCTCCTGAAATGGTTGAGTTTAATGCTGTCATTAGGAGGAGAAAGATGGACACTGGGGCTGCTTCCCAAGACTTGGAGAGAGGAAATGTTCTGCTGCTCAGCAGAGTTCCATGGAATCTTCAAGGGGCTTCTTTGTGAACTTCTGGAGCAGGTAATTCCCGGGTCTGGAGGGCAGCCCCAGTGCCCAGCCCCTCTCCCCCTCCCACTGTAGCAGGGCAAAACCACCCCCTCCCTGCTCCCCCACCACACCACTCCAGATCCGGGTGCTTTTCCATAAAAATATCCTTTTTATTGGCCTCTCTCCCTGTGCTCCCACAACGTCCCTCAGCGCCTGCAGCCAGACGGGATCTTTGAGGCCTTGGAGCCCCCACAGATGTCAGGCTTCTCCCCCTGCCAGAGAGCAGCCATCAGAGCCCCAGCAGGGATGGGGACGTGTCCCCGAGCCCCAGCAGGGATGGGGACGTGTCCCCAAGCCCTGCTGTCCCCACAGAGCCTTGTCCCACCTGGTAGAGATGGCAAACCAGCCCCAGCAGCGAGGCCTCTGCCAGTGCCTGCAGCTCATCCGTGTGCTTCTGTGGGGGGACACAGGGGTCAGGGGGTCCCCAGGGTGTCCCAGCCCCGCCTGGCACCCAGTGCCCCCCTGCCATACCCCATTGATGGTGATCCAGGGCACGTACTGGTGCGGGGGGTGCAGCGCCTCCGTCACTTGGGCATTGTGGTGCATCAAGGCCACCCCCGTGTCCCCCTGCACGCAGGCGCTGACGCGGCCGCTGTCCACCTCTGGGGCATAGATCTGCAGGCACTGCCGGGCACAGGGGACATGGGGATGGTCAGGGGGACAGAGCTGTCCCCCATGTGGAGCACTGAGGGCGGGGAGGGGGACATACAGCCTCCAGGTTCTTGGTGACGGAGCTGCCCGCCTCCAGGCAGAAGATGACGGGGAAGTAGGTGCTGAAGTTCTTGGCCTCGTGCATCAGACAGGCCTACGGGGACAGGGCGGGCGGTGAGGAGCTGCTGGAGCCCCCCGTGCCAGCACCGTGGGAACGGGGACCGTCACCTCCATCATGTTGCCCAAGCATTCCTCGGGGCCGTGCTGGCACTCGAAGTCCAACTTCCCGCTGACGTTCCTCTCCTGCGGGACCAACCGGTCTGAGCGGCGCTGGCAGCACCGGGGCGAGCGCCAGCGGCGCCGGGAGGGCCGAGTCCTACCTGGGCGTTGCCGTAGGGCACCAGGGTGATGTTCAGCATCTCTTCGGGCAGCAGCAGCCAGGTGGGGAAGAGCTTCAGGACCAGGAACTCGCGGCACGCCGGGCACAGGCTCTCGTAGTACAGGCTCAGCTCCACGGGCGCGGCCACGGGGTGTGGGAGGCTGGGGCAGCGGCTCTCCACCTGCACACGGGGAGGTTTTGGGGTGCACGGCGGGGTATGGCTGCAACCCCCCCGTTCCTCTATCTGTAGGGATGGGGCAAAGCTCCGGGATGCAGGGAAGAAGGGGGATGAGGGTATGCAGGGCTAGAGGGAAGTGAGAGTGGCCGGGAGCTTTCTGCTGCTGCAGCATCCTGTGCGTGGCTGGCACCCAGCGCTGGGGCTTTCCACTAGAACTTCCCCAAAATATTTCAGGGAAAAACAAATTTAGACCAGGACATGCCTGGGTGGGGGTATGGTCCAGCACCCAGTGCCAGGGGAAGCTGCAGTCCCGTGGGGCTCACAGGGCGTTGTCACCACCTGGGTCTGTTTGGGGCAGAATAAGCCAAAAAAAGCGGTTTTACACTTAAAAAGCAGAAGTGCCAGCGGCAGCTGGGAAGGACCGCGGGCACGGTTCGGCTGGACCACAGCCGCTCCCCAGGGATGCTGGGGGATGCCGTAGTGCCCGTGTGGCACCGGCGGCTCTCTGGATGTGACAGCCCGTGCCCCAGCGCCGCTCGCAGCTGGCACTCGCTCCGGGCATCGCGGGGCGCTGCCCCAGCCCTGTCCCCGCGTCCCGGGGCAGGCCGGAGGTGGCCGGGTGACCCTGCCCTTGTCCCCCGCTGTCCCCAGCCCCGGCAGCAGCTCGGCTCTGACCTGGCAGGCGGCGGCGACGTCCCTGGAGCTGCACCAGCGGTGGGCAGGGCGATCACAGCCCGGGGCCGCGCCGAGCCCCGGGGCCAGCAGGGCCAGCAGGGCCAGCAGGGCCAGCGGCACCGCGGGGGCCATGGGGAGGCCGGGGTGACGCGGAAACGAGCCCGTCCCAGCGGGGACTTTTAAGGCCGGGCTGCGCCCGCCTCCCCGCCCTGCCTGCCCTTCCTGCCGCCGCCTCCCGTGACGCCGCCGAGCCCGGCCCGAGCCCGCGGCTGCGGCGGGTCCGGCACCGAAACCCAGCGCGGAGCAGCCACGCGTGGGGCTCGCCGAGCAGGGAACGGGGCTGGCTGCGGGCGCGGGGCAGCTCCGGCTGCAGCCAAGACAGGAGGAACCGCGTCCCTGCCCCGTTCGTAGCCGCTGTTCCCGGCGGTTTCAGCCCTCGTCCCCACCGGCTCCAGCCCTCCAAACCCGGCGAGCACAATCCTGGCGCCATGGGTCACATCCTGCACCCAGCCCAGGAACTGCCCTCTCCTGCCCCCGCACATCCTCCCACAGCAATCCAGCAGCCTGGTTCATTAACTCTTGTTTATTTATTTCCTTTTTTTTTTTTT